ACACATATATATATATATATATATATATATATATAATTAGATATTTAAAAGATTTTTTTTAATGTATATAATAATTAGTTGATTCATCGTGCGATACATAAGATTATTTAATTTTTTTTAAAATGATTGATAATTGTATGCTGAGATATTATATATAAATCTATTTACATGTGATACATGTTATGTCAAAGAGATTAACGTATATTTATTATATATGTATATATTTTTTCTTTTGATAGAGATTGATGAGAATTTTATTAAATTTAGTTGATTTTTTTTCTATTGGACCTACTAAATTTGGATTTATAATATAGAAAAAATAATAAAAATATTTACTTGTATGTTATAATTTTTATAGTTAATAAAAAACAGTAGCATAATTTTCTAAAATGAATTTTTTCTTGAGCCTTGAAATATAATAATTACACTCGAGCTGGATATGAGTTGGGTTTAAAAGAAAGTGTGTTGGATTCTCTGTATTAAAGTAAACGGCGTCGTTCGGAGTTGAGGAAATAGGGTTTTAGCATTGTGCAGTGAGAGTGAGAGTAGTAGGAAGAGAGATCGAGAAGCGAAGCACGATGAGTTCGGTGAAGAGACGAGAGAGTGTGCGAAGCAGCAGAGAGGAAGATCAACTGATAGTGACGCCATTAGGCGCCGGAAACGAAGTGGGTCGTTCATGCGTTTACATGTCCTACAAAGGCAAAACCATTTTGTTCGATTGCGGAATCCACCCTGCGTATTCCGGCATGGCCGCGTTGCCCTATTTCGACGAGATTGACCCTTCCACCGTCGACGTTCTTCTCATCACTCACTTCCACTTGGACCACGCCGCTTCCCTCCCCTACTTTCTCGAGAAAACCACCTTCAAAGGCCGCGTTTTCATGACCTACGCCACCAAGGCCATTTACAAGCTCCTCTTGTCTGATTTCGTCAAAGTCAGCAAGGTCTCCGTCGAGGATATGCTTTATGATGAACAGGACATCAACCGTTCCATGGATAGAATTGAGGTATTACGCTTCCGTTTTAGGGTTTCGATCTTCCCATTCAATGCCTCCTTAACTGCTACTGTGACTCTTTTACTTTGTATATAACTGATATTAGTGACTGCAGGTTATTGATTTCCATCAAACAGTGGAAGTGAATGGTATTCGATTCTGGTGTTATACTGCAGGCCATGTCCTTGGGGCTGCTATGTTCATGGTTGACATAGCTGGTGTTCGAGTGCTGTACACTGGAGATTATTCACGTGAGGAAGACCGCCATCTCCGAGCTGCTGAGACCCCACAGTTCTCCCCCGATGTATGCATTATAGAGTCCACCTATGGTGTACAGCACCATCAGCCTCGGCACACACGGGAAAAACGCTTCACTGAGATTTTCATGACCTACGCCACCAAGGCCATTTACAAGCTCCTCTTGTCTGATTTCGTCAAAGTCAGCAAGGTCTCCGTCGAGGATATGCTTTATGATGAACAGGACATCAACCGTTCCATGGATAGAATTGAGGTATTACGCTTCCGTTTTAGGGTTTCGATCTTCCCATTCAATGCCTCCTTAACTGCTACTGTGACTCTTTTACTTTGTATATAACTGATATTAGTGACTGCAGGTTATTGATTTCCATCAAACAGTGGAAGTGAATGGTATTCGATTCTGGTGTTATACTGCAGGCCATGTCCTTGGGGCTGCTATGTTCATGGTTGACATAGCTGGTGTTCGAGTGCTGTACACTGGAGATTATTCACGTGAGGAAGACCGCCATCTCCGAGCT